GTGTGCTTTACAAAAGGACAGAACACAGTCAAGGTTTCTCTATTTGTTAAACAAAACTGATCTCCCTTTCATTTCTCTCATAGAATTACTGTCAGTAACTTCATCCTAGGTAATTTGGATGTTCAACAACTCATGCTTTAAACTTCCACCTGTTTTCATTTCCTCATAACTCATTTACAACATGATTTTTCCCAAACTAAAACCATCTTCCTCAACCAGTGACAACGTAAAACAAGCTGTAATGTGGTCCAGAACATCGACTCTAGTTTGAGGAAGTTTTGTATTCCTCGTTTTGTTTTGTTTTTGTTTGCATTACACATAACAACTGACAATGAAGTCCAAGTTTTGCAGGTCATGGATAAATTAAATCTCTACGTTCTTAACTTCATAAACCTTGAGAGCATCTAATTTCTCCTTATACTATATATCCCTGAACTACACAATCATTAAGGTCTCAAGAATAAAAGAAATGTTTATCAACTAAAGAAGCTCTTGATACTTAAACAAATTCTCCTGATCAGCACCTTAGGAAATGTATAGAGAATAGTATGGAGAATATGCATACTGATGTTGGTGTTGAAGGTTCTTCTTCTTCGAAACTCATCCTTCTTACTGTAATAATATTGATTAAAATGTTCTCTGTTCATACAGAGATACAGCAAACACCATTTTCCCCTTTATTCCCGACACTCAATGTCAGATCCTGAGATCTCAAAAGCTGAAAAATTCATGTTTTTTTTTTCATTTCCCTTTCACATTTGAATTATTGAGAGCCAACTGTATTCCCTTTGTCCAACAGTGAAGAGAACATCTTTTAAAGATTTCAAAATGTTAATCTCAGAACAAATTTGTTATCTCTATCTGAAATTTACCTTCAATTTCAACTTTCATTGTCACATTAATTGTCTTTTCAGTGCTATTCGCAGAGGTCTTTGGAAGAGGAGTTGCAGATGACTGATAATAAAAATAAAAAGATCAATAACTATTTATGATAGGGTACAGAACAACCTTTCAAACTTAAAATGTATAATTTAGGAAATCCACTGGCCAAAAACAGACTAGCATGTACCTACCATTCCATTTAAAAGAAGTACCAGGGAAGTGATTAGTTTCGAAAACAATAGAGAGGGATGTGGCTACGAGACTCAACTCAGAAAATTCATGATGAAAGAGTGAGATCTTGAGAATTCTGAACTGACTTGATGTTAAACTATAAGCTTATACAATGATATAGTTAAGACATGTAATATTTGATCTTTGTAATTTACACCCGGAAAGCACATAGAAATCTTTAAGTATGCTTGGCACAGAGGAGAGTGCTGCTTCTCCCAAGCAAAAGGTCATTTGATTGATCCCTTGAGATAAATGAGCCAGTTTTTTAGTGGTACCATTCATTGTAACAGAAATTAGCATTTAAGAACCCATTACCATAGTGCAAAGAGTAGCATTTGTCTTGTCTGAAAATTAGGTGGAGGTCTTAATCATTCCAGAGTACAGATAATTGATATCAGTGTTCAAATGTACAATTTGGAAGTCAAAAAGGTGTACTTTAGACCTATAAGTAGAATTAACTGAAATAGAATATGTCCTACAGCTAGTCCACAGATTAACCAAGAACTTTACAGGAACAAAAGGTCAAAAGGGGCAAAATTTTGGGTTGTAACAACTACATGCAAATGGCTTTCAGTCATTCCCACTCACCTTTTCAGATGAAACATCAGCATGTGACAGATCAGCGGGAGGACTCGTCACTTCAGAGGCTGGTTTTTCTGTGGACAAATTCTTTTGTGCATTTCCATCTGCTTGGGGCATAACTGCATTATCTGAAGGACACAAGGAACTCAAAGTCAAAACATTTTACAAAATCCATATTAATACAAAAAGGTAGTCTCTCTTCAAAAGAAATTTGAGTCAAAAACATAAAATTTAAGTTTAAAGCTTTTAATCTCTTAATCACTAAGAGTGACACCTTGGAATGCCATCCTCAAATCACAAATTAAGCTCAGGGGGGATAAAGGAAATGATCACCAACTACAGAAGCTCTTGATTATTGAACAAATTCTCCTTGTCAGCACCTTAGAAAATGTTTAGAGAACATTATGGAGAATATACATAGATAGACAGATAGAAACTCTATTAACATGTCAAAGAACCTTTTAGTTTGGGAGATATCTCATACTATTGTGGGGACACAAATAAAATGGATAAACATTATTTACAAAGAATATTACCTACTTAAGAATAAAATTAAGTCATATCATGCATGGAAAAAAATATGAAACTAATTAAGAATTACATAGAGCACAGCGCCCAGCCCCTGCATAATGGTGTTAAGATAAATGATTCAAGAGCTTCTCAGTCCATTACATAAAAGTCTTTTAAGGCTCAAGACTCAAAGCTAGGACTTTGCTTCAAAAGGCAAGATTGCTTCTATGCAGTCTATTTATAAAGTCAAATCTAAGTAATCTGTGCAACCATTTTTGTTCTTAGATAATTATTACGTGTACCATAATAACATAACAATTCCATGCCACACATAATAATGCAAATTCAAACTCAGGTTGCTGGTTTCTCTTCTATCTTTTAATTCTGTTTTAAGTCCTGTCCTCTTATTCTGTTGGTAATTATGTAATAGTGTGCAACTGAATATTTAAAAAGATGTGAATGTGCAATGTGTAGCAATCAAGTCTTCAATCTAGAGTTAAAACATTTCACATCACCCAAAACATATTTGATTCACAGCACTACTAATGTTACCAGGATCACCTCAATTAAACTTATCAATTATATTACCAAACACAAACAAGGAGCCAAACTAGTTTGAACCGATCATTAGTGCACTGAAAACTATTGATGTCACACAAACTTGAAAGGGAAACATTCCCTCACAATTATTGGTTCATCAACTTTTATTGTGTAATTTGATCGGTGAGCTGTTTTCCAACTACCCTAGTAACACCAGCAGTGCAGTAAAAATTTGTGTATCTACGCATTTTTTATTCAAGCTCCTAAATCGTAATTTGAGGAGATTTTATGTTAATTGTGCCCCTCAATTCATTATAGTCTGAACAAGCTCTTCTTGAATTGTCTTCAGTTAGAATGATCAGAATATGGTTTGAAACGATACGACTGAATCTGAACGTGCAGTGACGTATTTACCCCGTAGTTATAAGTAGCGACGGAACTAAAAACTGTAAACCCACGAGCAGCAACATAGCGTGAGGCTGAAAATTTAATTAAATTAACAAAAACGAAAATAAGCCAACACAAAAAGTAGTGTTAAGTACGAATGTCATTAAGTAGATCGACGCAAAACTACGAACTTGTTATGCTGTCACACCCTTGCTTGTACTGTACTGTGCATACAAAGAATTTGGTAAATGCACAGGCACCAGCTCATTTACCTTGTTGCAGATCTCGGATCCCAACCACTGATCCCTCCGCTCTATCGCTTACATTAACAAGAGCCTCAGAACACAGCTCTTGAGGCCGACAGTTGAGGTAGAAACAATTATATTTTTTGTCCTCGCTAAGGTTGGGTGGATGTGGGTAAAACAGGTAAACTGTACAGTTATCATAACCGCAGCAACCTTGTTCACACTCTGAGGGAGAGTTCACAGTTGATCCCTTAGGGACGGTAACAATTCCATTCTCTCGCTCAGCGTTTTCCTTGGCCTTTGCGATACTGACCATTTCGCCAGTATATCGCTGCCCCATTCGACAAGAATCGCTCTCTCCTTCTACATTTGCGCCCAACACCAATGCAGTAACCAAGTATAAAATTAAAAGAGTCACTTCGTGTGGTCTCTGTCCCTCCATCGTGAATTGGGATGTAAAAACCTCTCAAAAAGGCAAAAAACTTCAGTTCAACCAGCCCTCATTATGCGAAAACGGGCGAAACAAAAACACGTAGCGTCTTTGGTCACGTGGCTAATTTAAGGGATTCTTATCTGACGTGGAGGGCTACTGCTGTACAAGAATACTGGGGGCGTTTTTCGTGTTAAAATATCGAACCGAACGAACCGAAAGCGAATGGTACGGAGGCTGACACGGAGGCCACAGTAACTGACCTTAATTTTGATTTCTTTCCAGTGGGTTGCCGCCTTAAAGAAACGTGGAATAGATATTAATTACCAGCAGTAGTTCAATTTATTAATAGATAAGGAAAAATGGACAGCGATGGTCTACCTATCGTAGGGCCAAATGTGGATTATACCAAGGTATTTGAGTTAAAATTAGTAACACGTATTTTCCGGGAAGTATCTAATAAGATTTTAGGTAGTTAATAAAAGAAAAAGTCAGAAAAGAAATACTCTAATTTGGCAGGGTCCAGGAACTCTGGAAAAAAATTAAAATTACGCCTAGCCTCCCCGGAAATGGTATTTTCTTGCTCAGGGACACAAATTTCCAGTGTGGGTACCGGGGTATGTACATATATATCCCGTCTGCAAACAAAAATACGTTGCGAATCAGAGTACGACAGACCATGAATCCAAGTTTTTTGCTTGACCCTTCGGTCTGAGTCGCAGCTAAGGTCATTTGTACGTTTTGTTATATTTGTTATGTTTGGCACGTAACTTTAACAGGACATTGTACTACCCTCTCTCTCTCTCTCTCTCTCTCTCTCTCTCTCTCTCTCTCTCTCTCTCTCTCTCTCTCTCTCTCTCTCTCTCTCTCTCTCTCCTCTGTCCATATAGGAGTATGCATGGGAGATTGACTATCTGTGATGGACTGGCATGTTGTTTTGGAACAAAAAATTTCTTAGACAACACAGCATTAGCTCTTTAAAATATTCAGTCTTGTGATTTTTTCACAAACCATGTCATTAGTAAATTAATCTGTTGGAGGCCCTCATGAACAGTTCTCATCAAATCTCAGTGTTATCTTTGTTACAAGTAGATTAGAGAGTATAGAGTCACACCCTTGCTGAAAATTTTGGGAAATTTCATCGGGTGATATGGGCAGGGTTAACATGGGCTACCCTAATTAGCACGTACTTATCAAAATTGTCTGCTGCCTTGGTTTCCTGAAGAGAAATAGGGAAACCTAGTCCTAGCTTCCTTGTCTCTTGTTTGAGTGCAACTTGCTTGGACTTTGCTACAAGAAGTCTAATGGCAAAACCCTTTAAATGCAACAAGCATAGCCCTGTTAAAATCTGAAATTGAATGATTGATCTTTACTTGGTTTACAGGTTGGGCCAATAAACCACAAGAGAACCTTGGCATTCCTTAATCATTTTATTACTCACTCTGTTAGATTTCTGAATAGATTTTCATGTGTTTGTGAAGAGGTGAGTATCTGTTACAAAAAAATGAGCCATTGTGGCTATTTTGCTTTAGCCATATATTTTTAAAATTTACTTTGTTGCAAAAATGTTTTCATATTGCACAAATTCAATATGGTTGGGTGAATAGTTAACCACCAAGAAATGAAATTTTGTAAAAAACAAGAAAGATGGAAGGTTTTGAGGTCGATGAAAAAAATGTGGAAGGATGTTTTTCATCTCAATGTCATGAGCATTGGACAAAAAGAATTTTGAGTCCCTATGAGGAATCAAACCTCAGACCTTTGACTTATGGGGACTCAGAATTTTTTTCTTTGTTCCATGCTTGTGACAAAACAAAAAACATCTTTCTATAAGAAATAACGTTGTTTTCCATAAGTCTGGCTTGGAATCCTGTGGGGTATTTATTTCAAATGTTGTATGTGTTATTAAAAGGTCATGTAAGTTCTAAAGGCTCAGTGTGGTCATGGTGACAAGTGTGTACTTAATCTTTGGGATTAATTGTGTGTTGAGTGGTGAAGGTTTCCCCTGAATCGAGGTGTCCCAAAGGAGAGATTCCAGTGTATCTAGCAAGAAATGGTAAAGGAAAGGTGATTGTGAGTAATTGTTTGTACCTCATGTTTTTGAATTGCAGAAATTAGCAGATTTATCCAATAAAATTCAGAGAATTGAAATAATGATGAGCATTTTAGAAGCTAAGGTAGGATTCACTGCTGTGTCTGTGATAGACTCCTCACTCTCACTCAAAATGTTAGAATTTAAAGTTGAGATGTTATAAAATGTTCACAGTCTGTACTTCATTAATGTACAACCTTCAAGTCCTGGAATACAATTACTAGAAACCAATGTGGACAAAACTGCTGAGAAAATTTGTTGCAAGGCATAGTTGTATTTCATCTCAAAATCAAAGGAAGAAATACTCCCCTCCTTCCCTAGCTGAAGTTGCCGTGTCTTTGTTAATCAAAACATATTTTTTGAGAAAAGTACAACTTAAAAGCGGCATTGAAAAAAGAGAAAAGGGTCAGGAATAGTACAATGCATACAGTGGAATGAAAATAACTCTTCTCTTTGCCTGCAGTAGTTTCCTCAAGGGTTTTGTTTGCAAGTGTACCTTCTTTTAATCATTGATCTTAACTGATTGGTTTTATTTCTGACCATTCATTTTGGTCATGACAAAAAATAATTATATGGTCAATTTGTTTTTATCATTTGCAATGTAGTTAGCATCTATCCCAGGCCTTGAGGATGTAACAGTGTCAACACCTGCACCAAGTCAGCCTGAAGCAGCTGCTCCTGCTCCTGCTCCGGGCATGGCTCCTCCTCCAGCTCCTGGTGCACCACAACCATCAGCAGAAGTATATTAACTCTTTACTTAGTTCTTATTAACCGAGCGGGAGGTCTGTATGGGAGAATCTTGACCAAGGTTGCCAGTACAGACCGAATGCAGTGAGGTCTGTACCAGCGACCGAGGTCAAGATTCTCCCATACAGACCGACCTAGCTCAGTTAATAAATTAAAGATGTTTATTATATGGCTGTGTCTTATATGCCAATTTTTTATACTCTTTGTACCTTTTTTTTCTAGAGTGGTCTAGATGCTGGTCTAGATGGGAAATCTAGACCGCTTTCAATATTGATTTCAGCCAATTGAATTCGTGAATTCGGTACTTCCCAGTCCTTGTGAGACACAGCCATATAATAAACTGTAATATCAGTATGCATATATTCCATACAGTTCTCTATACATTTTCTAAGGTGCTGGCAAGGAGATTTTGTTTAACAATCAAGTCATAGAGTTTCTTTAGTTGGCGATCAATTCCTGTATTCTTAATGTGTGGTTCAGGTGTGATATTGTAAGGAGAAATCACATGCTGGTCAAAGGGTTAAGTTAACAAATGACAACAGTGTGACAGTTCAGCCTTAACTTTTGGTTTTCACATGACATCATCAAAGTTATTATCAGTCCTTGTGAGATATTAGTTTAGTTAGCTATTAGAACACCTGACGACTTTTTTTTTAACAAATTTTCAATTTGATAGGGTTTTCAACTTGTGAGAAGGCAAGGGTGAATTTCTAAGCTTTTGTACTTTTGTGAGAGTGTTTGAATACCTGGTATTTACCTTCTTTTATCTCTTTGATTCTTGACTTTATTTGTTAAATGGTTTTGACGATGGTGTAATAGTGAAAACCAGCACTACCTTTTGGTGTGTAGCATCAGTGAAGTCAATTTGGTGAATCCTCTAAACAACCACTGGCAGTAGGCTCTAGGTTAACACTCTAGCATAACATGCAAACCCAAACTTTTTTAGAAGTAAGCCTCCCTTCTCATTTCTTAATATATATACATCAGAGACATTTTTCTCCATCGGTGTGTGTGTTGGACTCCTTATTTTAACGTCCAGTTTCAAGTCCTCTCACAATCTTGTGTACTTTAGAAAACATTTTACTTGCCCTACCCAATAGAGCTAGTGTTGGTTGCCAAATAAGAGTAACCTTTAGAAATTCTAGGGATTGGCCCTGTTCTGGACTGGAAGGCCATGTAGTGGGGAAGGGGTGGTAATATTGCAGGTGGTGTAATGCAATGAAAGTAGGAAAAGCTAGATAGTCTTTTGGGCCGTTTAACTGCTCTTTACCTTTATTATCCACACAGGCATCCCTTCCACCTCCCACAGAAGAACCAGGTGAGAATCAAATTACTGAGAACTTAGTCTGAGTAGTTTTTGCAAAGAATTGTTATACAAGTACTTTCAATTAGTTTATTGTAAAAATCCTCAATAGTAGTTTTGCTGCTGTAAAGACCACGTGATAATTGCAAAGTTTCAGCACAGGAACACTGATATATTTGGAAGTGTCTTTGTTATGTTAGTCAGGATGGGCTCATCTTCTACATTAAGGAAATAGGTCTGTCATTATAGTTGAATAATTCTCGATATGTCAGCAGCTTATAGACTTAGCGCTTACGATTTGAAACAATGTGTAGATCCTTTCATTGAAATAGAAGGTTGGTCACCTTATCTCAGCCAAATGGAGCATGCACCAGCTATTGAACCTATCACCTTGTTACCTGTTGTCCAGCTGTCTCAATTTACTTATTGCTTTTTGTATCTTTTTAAATTTTCTATGAAATTTACTGATCAGCTCCTGAACCAGAGAAACCAGGTAAGCTTAGCAACTGATGCAATTGCTTTACATCGCCTACTGTCAGTTTACTGAAGAAAGGAAGACAGACTGTACAATAGGCACTTTTCCTTTGAAGGAATTGGAAAAACTATACTCAAAAATCAATTCAAGTAACTCCAGACTGCCAAAATCAACAATTATTGGTCTCAGCTAGACTATATAATTTGCCCTGACAAATGGCTAAGGCTCAAAGCCTCAGCATAAATGGCCAATTTACATCATAAACTTGGTTGGTAAAACCAAATTATATCTTGCAATACCCACTATACCCATGGTCTTAAAATAACAGAGGAGAATTTGCTACCTTTCTATAATATCAAGAAATGGATAGATATTCTAGTCTTCTTGGACAAGGACGAACAAACTGTAGATCCCGTCTCCTGCAGGGTTAGGGGTAGGAGACGTTAATTTCCCACGCACGAGATTACTGTGTGGTGGATTTCATCCCCTGGGGTGGGATGGGTGGGAATAGGCAAGACCTCATTGATAACAGTACTTTGTACTGAAGGGCTATCCTGGATAAATACTCGAATATTATAATATTGCAGTATACACATTTGGATGCTATTGATTTAAGCAAGATAGGGCGAAAATTAGTAGCCTATCTGCATGACAGGACTGTTAACTATAATAATATCTATAGCTACTTAAATATAAATGATCAATATAAAACAATAAAAGTGTCAATTGGCCCAATACTAAGATTTTTTTTTTTTTATGTGTTCATGATGTACTGTTCAGCTCTTAATATATCCTTAACTTAAAATGTTCATAAAATACTGTTCATAAAAACCAAATCATAATGTCCTTAAAATTCTTACGATGTAACCAGTTTAAATGTTCTTGCAATGTTCAGAGTGCTACTTAATAAAGCTTTCTGCGTTCTCAGCAATATTTCTTTGTATCTTGTACCACTGTTGTTATTGTTATTATTATTATTATTATTATTATTATTATAATTATTATTATTATAACCAACACAGCACCACTGTCACAGTTTCTTTAGAATCTTACCCCCTTTATATAACTTGCAATCCATGTCAATCCCTCCTATCCTTGTCTTTTCCCCTAACTATATATTTCATTTCCCTTTATTTTTCCCATCACACCAAATTAAAATTTTGAGGCATTTGTGAGGTATCCTTGTAAAAAGATAGTTAGGCATAGGGTGAAAGCAATTCAAAACATTGTGTCATGACGCTTTTATGTTCTGATATCACAAAAAAGAATTTTGTGTGAAGTAAACAACCATTAAATCATTTTCTCCTTTCTTATAAGCAAGGGTTTCTTAAAACTTCTGACGATAGAAATCAACGGTAAAACACGACATTTCGACTGTGCTTTGGTCATTGTCAAGTGAATGGAGTGAAATACAGTAAATATATGTATATATACACATAAGAAATATAAGAAATTTTTGCAGGTGTAAACAAACAATAAAACTACAAAGAAAGTGCTAGTAAAAAGCTAATTAAAAACCTTTCTTATTTTCCTTTTAAATTAATTTATAATTTATTAGATTCGCCGACAGGCAGGGACACCGCAAGAGCTTGCGCCAATTACTGCAGGCCCAGTAAACCCACCCATCCCACCCCAGGGGAGGACATCCACCACACAGTAATCTCTTGCGTGCGAAATTAACGTCTCCTACCCCTAGCCCTGCAGGAGATGGGATCTGCGGTTTGTTCACCCTTGTCCGAGAAGACTAGAATATCTATCCATTTCTTGATGTTATAGAAAGGTAGCAAATTCTCCTCAGTTATTGATTTTAAGACCCTGAGTGTTGGTCTGGCTGGGGCTTGAACCCTCGACCTCCCGCACAACAGTCCGGCACTCTACCAATTGAGCTAACCAGGAGGCTTTTGTTTTAGCAATGACTGTTTCCAAAGATCCAAGATATGCCAAATACTTTCAGATGATTAAAGTGGTGAGTATTTTGCCACATAGCTTAAGGCAAAGGCCAATTTTATTAAGGAAGAAAGCAAAATGCAGATGTTGTGACAATTGCCACTGCCACTTGCTACTTCTCACAAATTCCAAAGACTACATGTAGAAGTTGTTTCCCTTTCAAGAACTCTTAATTTGCGACTCTGTTGATATTTCTGATTTGAACAGGTTTATTTTGTTTCACTGTAAAACAGAAAGGATTCAAATAGAAATCTTGACCCAGCTTTTTTATTCCTTTTTTTAAATCATTCCAAAGTTCCATGAGGCTTGTTTAATTCTCTTGTAAATTCAGTATAAATTTAAGGGGGCACTTTTGCATTGGTTAGTTGTCATGTTTATGTTGGCATTTTTTAGGGTGTCCCACTGATGGCAATTGCTCCCAAAATGCAAGCAGAGGGCCTAGACCCAAGTTTGCTAGAGTAAGTATTAAGCATCACGATGATCTTACTTTTATCGCAATGTCAGCCAGTTTTCAAAGTTTTCACCTATTTTTGATTAATCATAACCTTTTCATTCACAGAAATGATTGACATGTTACTTCTCCACACAGTATAGTAGGAGGTGACATGTGTGAGTGGTTAGGGCACTGGACTTGTAATCTGGTGGTCCTGGGTTCAAGTCCTCCACCCTGTTACTCACTGGATTTATTCTCCATCGCCTCAAATGCAACTCCTCAGCTGCGCTGTGCAAATAGCCAACTGGTCGGCCTCCTGCCAGTTGTGATTTTCTAGCACTTTATGTTTACTTGAAATATTTGTTTCTCTCTCTTTCATAATTGTATAATGCTTAGAGGCTTGAAATAATAGCCATATGAATTGTAATTTTTTTTTTGTTAATCATTGCACTATCAGCCAACAGGAGAGGAGAATAGTGAAAGGGTTTTATCATGATACAAAACCAAGTTCCCTTCACTGATTTTCATTAAAAAATTTAGTATTAGAAAGGTGAACTATACTTTGAGTGGTAACTTGTAAATTCTGAAAAATCCAAATTCCGACTTGGAACCTTACATGAGAAACTGCCTTTAGTTAGTTTCTCAGTAAAACAAAAGTTCCTTTTTTTTGTGGGCAAATCTGTTAAAGATCCTTTCTCTTTTCATTTACCATACTGATGACATTTATTATCATGGCAGAGCCCATATTTGCCGCCCTGTTTTAGACAAGCATGTCCTATGTTGTCGGTTGTCTCTCCCTCGAAGAATTGTTGCTATTTGCCTTTCCCCCGTCTTTCGAGTGTTTCATTACCCTGGCAAAGAATTATGTAAAGATTTTTTTTTTTTCAAATAACGGCGCAATTTTAATACCGTTGATGTACTGATCAAGTTTTTTTTCGTGGCTTTTTTTTCCCCAGGAATCCTGATGCTCCAGCCCCCGATGGTGGCCCAGTACCGGCGCAGGAGGACGACTCTGACTCAGAGATGTCATCAACTTCTTCCTTTAGCGATGCCGATTGATAGAATGGTAGTCCAATATAAAGCGCGTGATTCCTGTCTAACACAGCCTTAAATGAAATTTCAAACAAACTTAATACTAAATGGGTTGAAGATTGTGAATCGTTTATTTGCCAATAAACTATTGGCAAATAAACGATTAAATTCTTGACTCTTTTCAAAGTTAAGATTTTTTTCTATTAGGATAGATGCCAGCTAAAATATTCTTTTTCTTCCTACCCGATCCATTACGTCAGCAGTCAAGACTTCTTCGTCTTTTTTTGTGGTTTTTTGTTTCTCTTTATTCTCCGCTTGTTAGTCTATTTAACAAATATATCCCATGTCGCTTTGCGTCTGTAGAACACGGACTATGTCGAAATCTGGTAAGAACGAAAAAGGGGCACACGAGGGCGGAGCCGAGTGTGTCATTGATGTTCTTGTTACATTTGACGTCTTCTATGGCCCTTCCTGAACAGACCCACCGCAACGTTTAGTCTACTTTGTGTTATATCATCAAAAAGTAAAAATTCTGTTAATGTTGATGTCATTCTATTCGTCTGTCCTCCAGTCGATCATAAGTAAGAAGTGAGAACCAATCAAAGGGCCTGCATAATTTAGCTCTTCATCTGAATGTAGAAATATTATTTTTGTTCATAGTAAACGTTAAGGTAACACAAATGAATAAATGCTGATAGTTTCTAAAGAAACTGTTTGGCGCTGCGTCGGTGGGGGTAACGAAATAATTTGAATATATCAACAAAGTTGAAATGGTAAATTGGCCACCGTTACGGTTATAAAAGCTGACGTTTCGAGCGTTAGGAATTGTGGGTTGTGTGTGCTTTTAAAGGCAGAAAATGGAGCTACGTGATTGGTGGGAACATGGCAACGAGAAAAACACGAATAAATTAGTGGAATGAAAAGCGTTCGTTGATACCTGTGGGATTTAGACTGCCGGTTTGAAAGATGAGCCTTTGTTCAAGAGTTTTGCGGCTTTCCGTGCTACCTAAGTGTAACGAAAGACCGCAGATTGCCATATGTTGCTTAGAATGATTGGGTAAATTAAAATGTCAAACGACTGGTTTCGATGTGTCCTTGTCATTCCTCTCCACGTCGCGAAGGTGTTTTCGGAATCGGTCACCTTGTCTTCTGCCTGTTTCGCCGATGTAAATCTTTTTGCAATAAGTGCAAGTTATACAATAGATTACATTGGCGGAGGTACACGTGAAGTGATCGGTGATCTTAATGGATCGTTTGGGTCCCGATATTTTCTCAGTGTTGTGAATGAAAGGACACGTTTTGCATCGTGCACGGGCGCATTTAAAAGTGCCTGGTTGGTCATTAGTCTGAAAAGAACTTCTGACCAAAAAATTTCCTATGTTTTTGTCGCGTTTGAATAAAATGAGCGGAGGCTGCGAAGAGATAGTGCTTGTCTCTGGATCGTTTTGAAGTAATTTAAAGTTTTTAAGAATGATGGGTTTAACTGAGTGGTTGTGAGGGTGAAACGTGAGAGTGAATGGAATGCGGTCGGAATCTTCCTTTTGCGACGTTTGTAGTGCTGAATGTCGATCAATAAGTTGGGCGGGGCGCGGTGGTAACCCGCTTGAACGACAGAATCAGGGTAACCACGTTTATCGAAAAACTGGCACATTGACTCTGATTTGTGGTGGAAATCAGAGTCATCACTACATAAACGACGAAGTCTTAGAAACTGAGAAAAAGGAATGGAATACTTAACGTGAGATGGATGCGAAGACGAATAAAACAAGTAATTATGCGAGTCTGTAGGTTTGTAATACACAGTAGTGCATAAACCGTGGCCTTCAATTGAAACTTTGATGTCTAAAAAGGATAGAGGATCGTCAGAAATTTCCCAGGTATATTTCAGAGCCGGGTAAGAAGAATTGACTGCGGCTATGAATTGAGTCAGCTCCTCTCTGGTAAAGGAGGTGGCGCCGATACAGTCGTCGATGTAGCGACCGTAGAGTTCAGGTTTGGAGCCGTTGTATTGGCTAAAAAATTGGTGTTCGACAAAACCTACAAAAAGATTGGCATAGCTAGGTCCCATTTTGGTACCCATGGCTACACCATTGGTTTGTTTGAAAAAGTTGTCCTCGAATGAAAAACAATTGAAAAGGTAACACGTTTTGTCTGGAGTCATGCGCGTACCTGTGAAATTGCAATGGTCGTAAGCATGTTTCTATTCTTTGTTGCATCTTGATCATTTGATTTTGCCGTAACAGAATCCTGTGGTAAAAGGTTAAGACTGTAACATGATTGCATTCAAATATACAGAGTTTAGTGATCACCCAAAGTAGAGTCTACACGTGAGTAAAATTTTTACACAAAGGTATAATTGTAAATATAAATCAACGCAAATTTTTACTAGCAGTAAAGTTTGTCATGTCAGATGAAGAACTCTTCATTATTTGTTCAAATTTGACACTGAAGAAGGGGATATTACGTTGAAAATAGCTCAAAATTTCACTTCTTAAACTTCCCAAGGGGCACTCTCGATGCCCTAATGAAACCGTATTGAGGGTTCAATACTGTAAACAGCCACTTGTGAGCCTTGGGTTTCTACAACTTCACGAGGAGTCAGGAAGGCTTTTATATTTCAACAAAGCCTTTTCAAGCAGGCTCAAATTGACACCCTGGGATTGAGATTGCGAAAGAAACTTGAGAATGATGACCGTCATTCTGATTGGCTGAGGTCTGCCTTCAGCCAATGACTTTATAAATCATATGCAACTTAATTAATGATTGATTTTAATTATCTACATACCTCTTGGTGGCGGAAGAAATCTGCAAAATTGTGATGCGTTTATTCAAGCATACCAGTCCATTATTTGAACTCCAACGTCGAAACTAATAATGCGCGCGATGATTAAAGTTCGCTCATCACGTACCGGTGATCTGATTTCCCGGCTCAATTGTGGAAGCCGTGTAAATGACTTCAAGTACACCAAAACCGGTAACACAGTCGTATGTTGAGCCTGAAATCCGTTACCTTTCATTGATAATTATCAATCAGACAAATTTAATACAATTTTTTTCCATCCTTCATTGTCTAATTTTAGCGGTCGTAGTCCTTTGTCGTGTAGGCATGAGAAATTATTCTTATATCTTAGCTTACAGCTAAAGCTTTTAATTCTTGCTGTTTCTAAAAATATCGACTTTGACTATACCCTTAGTGCACGATTTGGGCTGCAGGTGGTACTACTTAAAGCCGAAATACAAACTATTTTCTTTTCAAAATATATTAAGGTAACATTCCAGAAAGCTCTTCCACTCTTTCAATATGAACCACTTTCTTGCAAAAGTGTTGTAATATCTGAAAAAAAACTCTAAACTCAATGGAATAGTTGAATAAAGTTATGGGTGTTTGCTTTTATCGGAAATTTTCTTGTGGAATTTGAATTTAAAACAAACTGTTATGACAATAACTTTATAAATTATGCAAAAACATTGTGTTCATTCCTTATTAAAACAATAGCACTGATGGGTACGAATTCTTGACTGTAAATATTCCCTGTAACAACTTTTTGCTTTTGGTGTATTTGAATATCTCAAACAGCTTCTTCACAATTAGGAACTATTTCATTCAAATTTTTAATGTATTTTCAATTAGGGTACTCTGCAAATAGGAGCGAAATAAATCGACATCTAAAATTGCACTTAATTATTCATTACGACTTACGTAAAGCTAATATTGAATTATCAAGGTGATGGAAGTTGTTTTGATATCGCTTCAAACTCACGCAGTGTTCTGCCAACAAAATTGAAAATTACTCTTTTATGTCCTTCCTAGAAAGTTCTTACCAACATAACAAAGAGAAAAGTGATGTTACCATCTTGACACATCCATTATTGACGTGTCCCTTGTGAAGGTTGGTGAAGCTCGCCTGCAGGAATGCCTTCCGCGATGCTAAGGAAGACAACGACTGCAAAAAGGCCCGGAATTATTCATCAACGAAACTTTCAGCGGCATATGAAAACAGTTAAAAGTTTGGTCGAGGACATCGCTGATGCAGAAGATCCTGAAGATCACGAGATTAAATTGAAACTCGACGAGAAATCTTATCAAAGTTCTTCATCCTTGACTCGAAACTTCGCAGGAAACCGGGGACAAGAAAATAAGTCGAAAATTCAGTCAGAAACTTCTTCTGACATATTCTTCGATAATGATAGATTTTTCAACGGATTCGACAGCGACCCGGTAAGCGAAGACAGTGGGGATGATTGCACTGAACAACAAACCGAGACTCGTAAATTGACTGAAGTCGAGAGACTCGAAGAAGTTCAGACAGACTTGGAGGAAAAAATTAAACGAACCAAAGAACTGCTCCAGAAAACAGACCGAACGAGAAATCAAAGAATGCATGGCCAGCAGAATTTGAAGCGACTTGAGCTAAAACTTGAAAAGTTAGAGCAGCGTCTGGAAAGGGAAAGAGCCGGAAAAACTAGATGGACTTTTGTGCGAAGAAACATAAAGAAGCCCAAGGTTGGATTTCACAGCAGCGATTTGTTAAATCGAAAGATTCCACTGGCTAAACTGCTAGAAAGTTCATCAGAGAGCCAATCTCATCTGGCTGAAGTTGTTCTCCAAGAGATGCATCGCGATGTTGCTGTTCAAAATCAGGTCGACAGTGACCCCACACCAAAGCCAACAAAGCTGTTCAAGTCGAGAGAACTCCATGAGTTTGAGAAAAGTCTTCAAGAAGACGACTCCCAACAGCAAAAGAAAGTGACAGAATCTACCACCGATGACTTGTCTCAGATTGAGGCAACCAAACAGGAATTAAACAAAAATGAGAATGAAGAAGAATCTTTGGAAAGCTTCAACATAACGCAACTTAAAGATCGAAAAGAGATGGATAAGGAATGGCTAAGGATCAGTGATAGGCCTGACGGTTTCATAAAAAAGATTCAAGATGTGTCAGAGACAAAGCAGTCCAAGCAAGCTTGGGTTAACATCAATGACCATGCTAGTCAAATGTTTGCAAGGAAAGTGTTCCGGGCTCAGGCGAATGGTGACTCGTTCCTCCCCCGTTCATGGGACGGGAGAAGAAGCGCACTAAACAATCGCGCAGAAACATTGAAAGTTGATGGAAGAATGTCTGTTGGCGGTTCTAGTAAGGAAAAAGACAAATATAAATGTGCCGGACGAACATCATCTGCGCAATCCCAGCGAAGAGTGACGGTGGTCAAAATGGACACCGTTACTGGGACCAATACTTTTCTGCCCCCGATTCCAAAGTCTGAGGCGAAGAAACGCCCAAAAGAAGAACAAGTGGAAAAAGTAAAAGACGAAAATGACAAAGAGCAACAGAAAGAAAAGATAATACTGATTCCCAATCGAAGGCGACTGGCCAGAAGAAGAATCGAGATTTACCTAAAACAGCTGAAATTTGTCAAGTCTCACAAACTAGACGAAAAAGAGGTTGTAAAGAATATAGCATCCTCAGTCGAGGATTACCAGAGCCGCAAATCAAAAGGAGGAAAAAAGGAACATGACTCAAAAACTACTCCACGGAGCACTTTGTATTTGATCGGGGCATTGTCAAAAACTCATCTCCACCCTCCCACAGCACTGCCGAATGATCGATGATAATGCTTGGTTACCAGAGCAACCATCAACTGAGTGTCGAAAGTAAATCCGGGATTGCTTTGGTTTTTCTTTGTTTCGCTTTTTGATTGGTCCAGAGAAAACTCACGCCAATTTTCAACCAATCAGATGCAAATCTAAGACCAGTCGCAACTTGGTCGCCCGGCGTTTTCGCGCGCTTTCTGATCGCATCATTATGGTATTCATGTGGAATCAAACATTAGGCTCTTGAAAATAAGGAAATAATAAAAAAGTTGAAAAAATCTTGATTTTTATCTGAATTCTTCTTGTTAGTGCCCTAGGTAGTGTATAAGGAACAGTATGGAGAATATAAATACTATGTTTGGGTGTAAAGAGTTAAACGCGCTACCAGGTACAGCTGTATGCATTTTGAGTATGTATCCTTCATGTCAAGCTCAGGTTTTGCGGTTGATTTGACGAGAGCTAAGCGTACAGCTTCACTCGATATAATTGCATCTGAACTGTGTATATGTAACATGATGGTCGTTTGAAAGCTCCTTCGTTCGAAACAAAATACGAAGAAGGGTCTGTCCTCCACTGAAAAACTCTGCTGGATCTCATTTTGCATCACAGAGGTAACGGATCACCAGCAAATTCTGGTTTCAGTTTGCTTTACCCAACTTACTAACAAAATTTTACTTAGGCAATAGTTATATCCGTTCTTTAAAAGAATGGCAGAAAGAAAAAGGAGAAATTTAAAATATTTTTGATCAATTATGTTTTCTTGTTGCCGATATTGTAAGTTGGGCAATTCAAGTTGCAATATTTGTGCTAGTGTGAACCCACTCAGTTTCTCAGTAAGCCAAACAAAGTCAGTCCACTTAGCCACGACTTCGAGACCTTGAACACAGTACTGTCAGAAGTACATGAATTATCAGGCTTAGTGAATCTATGGGAGTCGATCATTGATACTTGTCACGTCGCCTTGCACGATCCAAAATTCGACATTAAGGTTAGTCCTCCATGAGAAATACAGATCTATCCCAAAACTGAACTTCCCCAGACCTAATCATTTTCTTTATAGATAAAAGTTTTGCCGTCAAAAAAATATACTTGAAAATTTCCATACACATTTTTATGAATTCAAGGCAATAAGAACCATGAATGTCAAATGATATCTCCCCCTTCCTTACTGACCTTCATCTCTCTAAATAATCCAAGCAAATTATGATTTTAAATCATTGATAAAAGTCGTATTTGCTAAGTTATAAACGCGCTTGGTTGAAATCTGTTTTCAGAGCTTGTGTCCTGAGCTAATTGCTAGATTGGAAACTAATACATAAATAGTCCCTTGTACAGTTGTGGGCTTGGTGGTCAAGCCTTTGAACAGGAGTGAGGCTAAAAGTGACCCTGTTGTGATAGAGACCTATATCTAGTTTGCATAATAACAAAGTAATTTGCATTTGAAAAGTAGCAACATCTCTATCATAACAAGGTCACCCTAAATGCCTCACTCCTGTTCAAAGGCTTGGCCACCAAGCTCACAACTGTAAAAAGGAGTATTGAGAATCCGCGTAAAAGTCAGTCTCTACAAGCGTTAATCTCGTGGCAGAATTTCATCTAGATCGGCAATAGTGTAAGCCACAACAGTCCACACTGCAGCACACAGGTCCATGTCATCAGGGTCCTGAACAGTCATGGTGTCACCATTTGAGTGGTGAAAATAGAAGTATTTACTGTTTTCGTTGTCCAAGCCTCCACCTGGTACCCCATGTCGGACCCAAAGGCCGATATCCTCATTAGGAACAACAGCTCTGACATTGGTGGCGTTAATTGGCTTCAAAAGTCTTACTACCTCCTTCATAACAGCTACTGCTTTTTCACTGCCGTGAAAGACAATCCCTAAAGGTTTAAATGTTCCATAATCAGACTCTATCACCAAGCTGAAGTTTCCTGCATTTTCCTTGTGACGATTAAAGTACTGGTCTCCTCCGAGGACCTTCTCTTCTTCTCCTGTCCATAGCACCATGCGTAAGGTACGTTTCGGTTTGAGGCCTAATTGTCGAACTACTGACAGTGCTTGCCAGGAAATGAATGCACCTCCCCCATCATCCATTGCGCCTTGACCGACATCCCAGCTGTCTAAATGACCGCCAACAAGAACCATCTGAAAGTCAAGATAAAAAGACATGATCGTTGTATTATCCCAAGTTTTCATTATTAAATTATTATCAGGAGATTAGTACGGTGGCTCTCAAGGGCCATCCACCTACAAAAATTTTCATGACTTTATCGCGTGATAAGTTTTGCTAAGTCCATTCATTCAAAACATTTGCAATCAACATTATCGCGCGATAGAACAACTTATCGTGCGAAAGAAGACTGTATCGCGCGATAGAAAAACTTATCGCGCGATAGAACAACTTATCGCGCGATAGTACACTGTATCGCGCGATAAAACAACTTATCGCGCGATAGAACACTATATCGCGCGATAGAACAACTTATCGCGCGATAGAACAACTTATCGCGCGATAGAACAACTTAACGCGCGATAGAACAGCTTATTCCGCGATGGATAATATTATCGGGCGATAATTTTATTACTAGCTCCCATGGCCCCACGACTATTAGCACGTGGTCACATCCATAGCAAGATGGCGGACCAAGTTTAGAAGGTGAGTAATTGTCCAAGAAATAAAGACTTTTATTCTTGATTTTTGACCAAGAGACGGTAATCTTTGGGTTAAATTAAATTATATTTCTATGCTATCTTAGTAAGTGGGGTTAAAGATCTGAGAGGGACTTTATTGCTCTATATTTGAAAGATTGTTTATGAATATAAGGTGTAGGGATACGTTTTTAAACTATATAAGGTGTATAAGGTGAAAGATTGTTCAGGAATATAAGGTGTACAGATACGTT